ATTTTGATAATTATTAAGTCTTAACAATTAAGTCATTTTAATTTTTATCCGCCTACTTTTTTTTCACTCTGCATGGAGTGTTCGGAAATTTATTGATTAGAATCGATGAACGTGTATTCAAGGATGAATTACTTGAAACAGCTGGCAATTTGTTGTAACAAGCAGGCGTTAATGCGTCAAATAGTCACGTTTTGAGGGTGTCACAGTGTATTTCCAATACATTACGGAAGCTTTCATCACAACCATTACTGGTTATCAGAACTTGCCTTAATTAAGTTAGAATAGACGTTGCAAGCCACGCCCAACACACTTTCTTAAAGGTGTTCAATATCCAATATATCAAACAGCCGTTAAATGTTTTTCTCCCTCTTNCTCTCTCTCTCTCCATCTCCCTCTCCCCTTCCCTCTCTCTCACCCTCACTTCCTTTCTCCTTCTCTCCTGATATTTAGGATCAATTCCGTCTAAGTGCAAGAAAGGAAAGCAAGTCAATACTGAAATCCTCTTAAGTACAGGCTGACAAAGAATGCAAAAAATCACTTTTCTATATAACAACCTAAGAAAAGAACTTGATTGGGTTTTTACAAATTATAACGTTCAGCATCGGAAAATCGTAATCTATCTGGTGAAATGCTGTTACGAGGCGATGTTGTGGAAAAAGAAGGAAATTGCATTTTCATTTGGGCCCGTCCATCCCGTGTTTTTTGGGCTGTCGATTTCATTTCTCCTCCGTGGAAATTGGAAAAATGCCGGAATTCGTCTCATCTTAATTTCACGCTCAAACTCACCCTTTCGATACAAAAAAAGAAAGAACAATAACGATCGGCTTGATGAAATTTAGTCTAAACCCTAGATCGAAAAGCAAACATTATTTTTGAAACAATATTGCTATTTTCGGTGATAAGTATTAACTAACGGCCTATTACATTCCTTCTTGCCTGCTGAAATTTTCGTTTCATTTGTGCTTTTACTTCATTGATGGTTCTTAATCTGAACTGAGGTTTTGTCGTTTCGCTACGAGTCAAACAAAACAGACTATAGTTGAAGTGCTAAAGGTGACCCTAAGAAACCTTATGGAAAGATGGAGTCTACACGTGCTGGCCCGACAGGACCGAAGGTGGAAAAGTAGCATCAGGAAATCTTGGAGATATAGAGCTTCAAGGACAAGTTCTGGTCAAGGTTGACAGTTGAACAGAAGGATTGTTAATAGTGATCGGACGGATAGGAGGTTGGTAATGGAGGAAGGATGATTCCAACACTATAGACGTTTAAGTACTAGAGGGGTAACCCAACGAGTCCAGATGGGGGGGAGAAACAACCAAGGCTTCACAGACCGAAATGTTCGGAACTGTAGGTTTATCAGCATCAGCATATCCCGCAGAACTCAAGAAGAGGCCACATCCTGCAGTACACAACGGTGATTTTGTGCCTCGCTCTCTTGACTTCCTTTTTTCGACGAGGTTTTTGTAAAAGTCAGGTCCTCAAGAAAAGCCAACATCCATCGGGAAGGTATAGCATCTTTTGGGTTATAACTCATTATCTACCTTCGGACGTTTCATTCCTCCATGGTCTCGGTAGTATCTTATAGTCATATTGACAGGATTGATCGTTTCTTTGAATGTGACTAGAAAATGTAATGCCTTCACAATAATCTGCCTAACTGCGGCTTCCATTTCTCATTGGCAGAACCTGTGCCTGGTATTGAAAAAATGGCAAAAAAAATCAGCCGAAATGCAGGAAGTCTTCTGACAGGGCAAACCAAAATAATCGGTAAAGACCAAATTTCAGGTTTATATAAACGCAGACCTCAAGAAGGGGCCACATCATAAACATGTAGTGGTGGGTTTGTCCTCTCCCTACATATTACCCTGAACAGCCACTGAAATCAGCCTAAATGCAGAAACGCGTTCTGTCAGACCAAGCCAGCGAGAATAGACAGACCGAAATGATCGTTAATGACCAAATTTCAGATTTATCAGTCTGCCGACCTCAAGAAGAGGTCATATCTTGTAATACACAGTGAGAATGATGTGCCTCGTCCAGTTGCAACTACACTCTGCAACCACAGAAATCAGCCGAAATCCTGAAACGCGTCTGACAGGCCATCCCAGCTAGCATAGGCAGACCTGACCTAAATGATATGACTACTTAAACCTTTAGCCACCTTTTCCACATACTACACTACACCTAGTTGAAACAAGAGGCTTTGCCCTCAAGTTTTAATCCAAACGTTATCTGTAAGTAAGGATGAAAAGCAACTTTAAAATTAAACTTCCCAATAGAAAGTGCAGGATAAAGCTGGCCACGAATTAATCAACCATCAGAGTGCGAATGCAGGCCTCCTTACATTTATACTGCCTTTCTTTATAAACACGATTTGATGGAGTGCACCGGACCGGGTCTCTCGACCTTCGCCCGAAATTTATTTTATTTCCGTTTTGCAAAATCTCTGCATTGGGTCGGTTTTATCGTTGTCTCCCCGGTCGCCGCTCTCTTGACCTAGTTACTACTGTCAAGGTTCTCCCGGCAGTTCCATGAACTCTGGCTCTGCTTCGGGGGGGTCGATCAATAGGCGTCTGACCCCCGCTAAACTGCCGTAAACGCCCTTGAAATAAGTGGGAAATCAGCAGATCGTACTAATACTGTACAATGGGATACGCTTCTTGGTCCCCGGTTGATGACTGCATTAGAGCATATTTGAGGGCGCGTCCATGCTTTCAACAGACAAACATTCCGATGAAATCGGCAAAGAAGCATTGACCATTTTTGAAAATAGTCCGAATGGTGTTAATGACAAATGGTTTGATAGGTCAATTAAATATAATAGATGTACCTACATCGACCATAAGATCCAAACATCCAATTGCTTATTAATCTAGTGGTCTAAAGCTCAACAAAAACAAACTATCCAAGAAATTAGTTGAGTGCAAAGACACAGGAGCAATGACTTCTGCACCATAGCTCCCTTATATGGCAACTAACAATATTAAACCATTAGTGACTGGGATTTCTGGTAACCCTGAGAAAAGTCGGTGTTGAGAGGAGCAGTTGGCCTCCATTGACGATTGATTGATGTATGATATTGATGATGATAATGACGAATACTAGGAATACTTATCTTCCCCAAGCCTTGCTGCCTTCTGGTTTATTGTACTTTGCTAGTTCCTTAGTTGAGTGCAATCGACTCATCCTTCCCCTAAGAGATCATTGACTGTCATTGCTGCAATACCTTTCTCTCGGTTTTCTCTGTACCCCAGATTATGTCTCCGTTGTGCAGTTGCTTTGCCTTCAAAGATGGTGGCTGTTTCTTCCTCCTCATGGCATAATCTACAGATGGGCTCGTTATTAAATATGCTAATTTTGTGTAGATGTTTTCTCAGATGCCAGCAAAAAGTCCTATCGCTCCTCTGAGTTTAGCCTTGTCTAAATTGTATCTGTGTGTTTGTCAGTCTTGGTGAGAGTTGTTTTAGGATAAGCTTAGCACCTCTCTCTCTTTCTNCTTTTTCTCTCTACATCTCTCTACCCCTCGCATTCTCACTCTCTCCCTCCCTCCATTTCTTTGTATGAACCTTTTTTAAGATTTTTTAAGGCACAAGTGTTAATGGCAACTGGATATTGTAGTGAACGTTGGTTATGAGCGAAAGGCTTTGTGTAACTGGCAGTTACGTCTGTTGAAATTACCCTTACTGTCATAGCTAGTTCGATGGTTTGCTCCATTAGTGTGTGATAAGATCTTGTTGACAATCTATTAGCACTTGAGACCCTGTTTATATACAGGGGTGCTGCTTGCAGGGTCACTGTTGAAGCAGTGACAATGCCTAGTGCAAACTTTGTTAACCACAGTCACCACATTACCTCAATCAAAAACTAACCTTATAAGAAGATGGTAGTAAAAGCTGACAGACTTTAAATAAATAAATTGGATAGGAACTAAATATTTCCAGCATATAACAATAGCAAATAAAATCAGATACCTATTTCTAGAAATTGAGACAGATTATTTGATTAAGGAAACATCTTATAAAGTTTTAACAGACTACAAACTATAAGAAGAAATGGAGAATATCAAATACTGTTATATAGGGTGTGTGTTATGGCTCCAAAACCAAAATATGAACAATCAAACTCATTAGTGGAGTAAATGGTCATGTCCAAAATAGTTGGTGAATGCATCTAAAATCTTCAACATAACCTGACAAATCTATACAAGACCATATATAGGCCCAGAATTTATAATTTGGATAATAGGTTATCCAACCTATAATGTCTAACATAATCTGCTACATCCCAGAATGGGTCTATATAAATAAGAATTCTCACCAAAACTGGCAAATTGTTACAGTTAGAGTAAAATTCATGGGAGTGACAGATACAGTCTCTGAGAAACATGTACCCATGGGTATTATTTAACGATAATCCATTTGTAGCTTATGCAAAGAGGAGGAACCTACAACCTAAGGTACCAAAAAGACCTAGGAATTGCAACAATGACACTCAATGGCCTCCTTTTTTAAAAGAATGATCGAGTCAGTTGAACTAAGGAAGTGGGGAAAACACAGTAAGCCTGCTGCATTACTTGGGGAATACCAAACCCCTGTTTCATATTAACCTCATCACGGTACGGTTCTTCTCATTGGCATCTGAGAAAACACCTACACATGGGTATATTCTTTGCTTTTATGTATCTTGAAAACTTTGTTGAATATTTTTCTGCAGAAATTAGTTGATGACCTATGGACTTAGGGTGGTAAAAATACCCAACAAAATCAATCATTTGATGGAAACAGTTAGTCATATTTATAGATATAAGTAACAACACAGAAATCTATACATATGTACGTGCTACATGAATCAAACCAACACTAAAGACATCTGTCTTCTCTTTCTTAAACTTTTTGAATATAAATGTGTCCAATTACTACATTATGTCTGTAAACTCTTAAAATTTTTTTTTAAATCACTGGTCAAAAAAGCTAAAATAGTATATTTATGCTTGTTCCAGTGGTCTACTGTGATTACATCGCCTCTTCCAGATCGTTAAAGTTTATTGAAGACTACATACTACAAGAAGTGCTGCCTATGTATGGAAACACACATACAACAACTTCTGTGACCTCAATGCAGTCATCGTTTTTCAGGTATGTGTTTTGTAATTTCCTGTAAATAATAAAAGCATTAAACAATAGGCAAAATTTATCGAGTAACAATCACAATAGAAAAAATCACCCAAAGAAAATTTGGAAGTGTCCCATGGGTGCATACTAGGTCTAATACTTTACTTGCTTTATGTCTAAATAATATCATCGGATAAATATTTTCCTCCTTCAGAACATTCTACAATAGATGGAGTTCATCAAGCAACATAAAAAGCCTGAAGCCAATTTGGACGTGCTCCAAGGGAGCATACTAGGTCCAATACTTTACTTCCTATACATTTCACAATAAATTTTAATTTATGAGAAATTGCAAGAATTGGTATATAATCAATATTGTAAATTTGTTCATAAAAGCGAGGATTCTGTTTATGCATATCCGGGGGAATTAGCATACTGCGCCATTAAGTTTTGTACTTACAGCACATCACTATTCATCGAGTAATTTGATTATTAGGCTGGTTTTAGTGTTTGTACTTTCTTCTGCAGGAAAATGTGGCACCATGGTATGTTATGTTGGGGGTCTTTTCTGCTTCGCAGAATCTGCATGTATTGTACCCTGACTGCGCAGTCTCTTCCTCCTTTATTTATGCATGTTTTCCTTTTCTTTCCAAATCTTGCCAGAAGATTGTTTGCATGTTGGCTGCAGCGACTTCTCACGGCATAATTACCCAATCAGGTTTGGGCAGTACAGGATCAGACCTATGTCTTATCTGACCCACCGACAGTAAGCTCTAGAGGATGTTACCAGCTTGGTAATTTTAGCCCCCAATGCATACAATTTCTAAACAAAGACTCATTCTTAAATACATTTTTTCCTATTTTCATAACATTCGCACAAGTAGAGTACTTGACAATCCTCCACCACCCTTTACACATATACTAATCTGAAAGTGAATGGGGTACACATGGTAACACAAAACCAAATGCTATACATAATAAATATTTTTTTCAAAAATCGGAACAGAGGGCCTAAATACTGAAGCAAAATTGTCTTATTGGGTGACATACCTACATGTCTCTCTATATGGAGCCAAAGTGATACCCTTCAATTAAATGAGACACATCAAGTAATCTTTTTCTACATGCCAGACACACCAGGCTTTAGCCCAAAAGTATCCATGTGTCAACCTTTCTCTACTTGCTGGACACAAGGCTTAAAAGTAAAGTTGTTTCGGGCATGACCTATTCTTAATCAAGTATCTCTTCTTCAATTCAGGCCTTCTGAGACTCACCCATTAAACCCACTGATGCTGCTATTTCTTTATACGTGTTATGTTTATTTGCCCTATTTCAACGATAGTTTTTCTTAGTTTTCCAGTAAAACCTATAATCTCGACAGTGTCAATTGTTTGAACTGTCCTGATTGTTTCTTTTTTATATATAAAATATGACTATGTAGAATGTTGCTTTACTTCTTTCACTTTGACATCCTTCACACAAAATGATCCCATCTAGTTTTGTTGTTGGCATAGAATTACAAATTCTTAAATTTTTTATTCAGAGAAGAAGCAAGAAACATATTGAGAACTGCCGTGAATGCATCTGAAGACGACTTGGTCCTGTTCGCCGGAAACGGGAGTACCAGTGCTATATACAGACTTGTCTATTCTCTCAACTTGCCATCTCCCCCAGTGGTATTCGTTGGGCCTTGTGAACACCATTCCAATCTCTTGCCTTGGAAAGAAATCGGCTCGAAGGTACGTCACATTTTACCCTGCGTCGGTTCGTAATAACAGAATTGATTCGACAGATTGTTAGGATCTCAGAAACCAAGGAAGGAATGCTTGATTTGACTGATCTTGAAAACAAGTTAGCCGTGCACAGAAACTCTGGATTACATGACACTTTAATCGGCTGCTTCTCAGCTGCCTCAAACATAACTGGAATACTTGCCGATGACATTGCGACAACCATTATGCTTCATCAATATGGCGCTCTGGCATTTTGGGATTATGCCACTGCAGGTAATAACACTCCATAAAAATCCATTATTCATTATATAATAAGGTTTTGTATTAATTAAATTATAATTTTTGGCTTTTGTTTTAGCGCCATATGTCACACTTGATATGAATCCATTGATACCAGGCATCAACCAGGATGCACCTCATAAAGATGCTATATTCTTTTCAGGACATAAGTTTGTTGGTGGTGTGCAAAGTCCTAGTAAGTTTAAACAAATCACCTATTGTACATAATAAATGAGAAATATACATCATAATTTGAATCAAAAATAAATTAAATTATTTTATAATATTGGTATAATTTTTGAGCATTTAAGAACAATGTTATTTTTTTTTTTGGGGGGGGGGAGGAATTTTCATTTAAATTAAACCCAATGGGATCAGTGTTAAATATTATTAAATCCATCCGAATCCCACTTGTGACACTAACTTTTTTATCTGAACAAAAGTCCTTGCATAAAAAGAATAATTAATTGAAAGAAGTTAAATATTATCTTGATGTGATTGATATCAACCTTAATATTATATTCACTAGTTTTCGTGGTCTGCTTGACCAATAAATATCACTCAAAGGTTTTTAGTTGAGATAAAAAAGTCAGTGTCACGAGCGGGATTCGAACCCACGACCTTCGGCTTGATACGCCGCTACTCTACCACTTGAGCTATCGTAATTTCAATCCACTCAGGCACTAACTTCCCATCTCAACCCCACCTATTGAATTTTCCCTCCTTTTTACCATTTTTCAAATGTCGTGTAATCTATTTGATTCTCGGTGACAAATGAAATGACCACGGAGAGCTTTAGTGAAGTATACTTCATTTTAACTTATTAAATTCACTAATTTCGTGGTCTGCTTGACCAATAAATATCTTTCAATTAATTAATGGCAAAAAGGAGGGAAAATTCAAAAGGTTGGGTTGAGATGGGAAGTTAGTGCCTGAGTGGATCGAGGTCACGATAGCTCAAGTGGTAGAGTAGCGGCGCATCAAGCTGAAGGTCGTGGGTTCGAATTCCGCTCGTGACACTGACTTTTTTATCTCAACTAAAAACCTTAATTAACTGAAGCTTAATATTATAATTCTATATTAAGAAAGTATAAAGTGATTTTAAATGAAAGAAAAATTTGAAAACAAAAGAAAAGAAAAAACTACTACTTACAGTACTATAATAAATAATATATGAATTTATGAGTTTAATTTAGTTAATAACATGCTTTTAGTATTGGGTCATAAAATAAGCCTGTAGCGCTTTTTATTGATAAATTCAATGAAAATTTCAAGTATTTGTAAATGAATGTGATCAACACATTTTTGTACCACTGCCTGTTGTCATCTTACATCTTATTGTCATTCCATCCTGTCAGGTTTACAATGTTTCTTCTGCAGTCTTCGTGTGAAGGTTTTCTCATAGAGTTTTCTAGAGCCTAGAATAAGTGAAAATGTTAAGGGGAGTGAATGTCAGGCGTATACAGAGGAGCAGAGAAGCACGTCCTAGTCAAGCTCCAATGATTTCTGATTAATTTTTAGTCAATTGGTGACTTAAATCACTTCAAATGTGTGCAGTGTACTCTGGTTTGGCCAGGCAAGAAAAGCTAGTAATAAAGCACGCAGTTCCAATTGCATCAAATGCAACTTCTCGCTGCATTTTCCCAGGATTTCCAGGATCCAGTAGTCAAATAAATTCTAAGTCAGCATGTAAGGAACCCATATATTTTTCCCTAACGAACATATCCAGCTGCTTTCAGATGAGGCACTTGTTTGTCATATTTTAAATGTATATGCAGTGTCTCGTGTCGTTGAATGTGGGTTATGTGTGACAAAAGCTTGAATTTGGTCATTGCCAATGGTTGAAGGATGACCAGTCACCAGAGGGCTTGTCCACTTCTAAACTGAGCAGGTGTGGACATAACTTATGTACTCTCTTCTAAAACATCACCATACAGTCTTACCTCCAGTTTTCCCTTTGCAGTAATATAAAAACATAAAATGACAAAAATGCACATTTTTCTTTCATTAGCAACAGGCCTTGTGTAGCGTAGTAATAATACAATGGCTATTAAACATTATAACTTGGTTAGAATAAGTTGCTTTCACCTTGGAGAAAACTATAAAACGTATACTTACTTATACCAAGCTACTGTAACAACTACTTACAATAATAAAATTATTGCTTGGACCATAATGAATTTATGAGTTTAGCTTAGTAGACAATATACTTACAACATAAAAAATAATAACCTACAAAGGCTATTAAAGTTTATGGTTAGGTTAGTAGGTTAGTTGCTTCCTCCTTCTAGAAAACCATAAAACTTCTCCTTATTCTGCTAATTTGAACTCATAGTTTAAACAAAAATGTTTAATATTGTGAATAGTTTTTATATTTGATAACCATATAAAAAATTAAAAACAATATCAAAGCCCTGATGAAGTTGACCTTGAAAGCTTGAAGGAATGAGAGTTTTTTTCTTTCAAATTCGCCTTATCCCTGATTTTTTAAAACAACAAATAAATAAATAATAAAACAACAAATTTGGACTGATATCTAAACTATTGAATCTTAATTCTCACTGCACCTCATTGCATGCATGAGGTACATGAGTACCAGTTATTTTTTCAGTGTTATGGTACATTTCCTGTTACATATTTACATATATGCAAAGAATAATACAAATTTAATATAATAATGGAAATTTCTAAACATCTTGTAGCTATTTACAATTAACTGATGTAATATTTGCAGGCATTTTGGTAGCAAAGAAGTCATTGTTTGCCAACCCTGTGCCGCGGGGATGTGGTGGAGGCTCTGTCTTTTTTGTTTCCAAAGATGACCATAGATATTTAAAGGTAAATGTTTATTTTTATTGTATATTTCACTTAGAATAATTTGTTGATTGATTGTGCTCTGGGTTAATTATTGTATAATGAATTAAGTATAATGAAACACGTTGCTTAATAATACTAAACAAAAGTTTAAAGAGCTCGAACCTAGGGTCACCCAGATGCTTATTTTATCATCCACCTTGATGATAATTTGTATATCATTTAGTGATGAGTAAAATTAACCTTATAATAGCACTATAGCACTAGGCCATTGAAAACAAATTTGGATCGTATTTTTGACCTATCCTATTTCCACTTAACTTTGTACAGCTATAAACGTTTCATAAGTTAATGTTGAAAATGTATTCTAAATGTTGTTTTTATGTTTAGGACTCTGAGCTGAGAGAGGAAGAAGGCACTGCTTCAGTTGTCGAATCAATTAGGGCAGGAATGGTAGTTAAACTAAAACAAGCAGTGGGAGTGTCTGCAATAATGGATTACGAAGATAAAATAGTGAAGTAATAATTGTTGACTCAATTACTGCATGTGACTATAAGTGATTTATAATGAACAACAGTTTTATAAAGAAAGTATGAACCCTTAATACCACAGGTTTCTCTGATGTTCTACTAAAATATTAAGAAGCAGGGGTCTGATATTCACCATCATTTGCCAGCCTTTGGTGTATTGTACTTTTCCTAATTCCTTATTTCAGTTTAATTGATTCTTTCTTTTAACAAGAAGAAGGGCTTTGTATTCAGGATATGGACAGTTTCTTTCTCATTTTTGCATAACCTACAACAGGGGACATGTTTTTTTTTTCTGACCTTACTTTATGCATTGGCCAAAGAAATGACTATATGAAGCCCGATGAGGCGGAGACGACCAAAGAGGCCAGGAGGAGGACCAAAGCCACCCAAGCCAACCCAGTGGGGACAAAAGGCATTTTTAAAAATCAAGCGCCCCGACAATCAGTAGCAGCCTTGGCCAGCTTATCCACTGCCTCATTGTGGCAAACCCCCGAATGCCCTTTGATCCAGCATAACGTAATCTTTTTATCATGTGTTTGGTACAATTCCTGTAGTTTCTTAAGAACCTCGATAATGAGGTATTCACATTTAGAGTTTAGACTGAAATTTTTAATTTTTTGAATGACGCTTAGACAATCCGTAAAGATGCAGATTTTGTCTGACAAAATATCTGCGGCATATTCTAAAGCCATAATTATAGCAACGATTTAGGCCAAATAAACAGAAAAAATTTTTGGGAGAGAAACTTGTTCTTGATGCTTATTTAGGGGATCGAATAAAGCGCATCCTGTATTACCATCTATTAGGGAACCATCTGTAAAAATTAGTCGAAAATCAGGAAATAACTTACATTAGCTAAAAATTCCTTCTGCGCTTGTAGAGGAGGAAACTCGGAATAATCCCTGAATGTGTAACATTCGATTTCTCTTGAAATAACTAACTTTTCTCTTCTGATCTCTAATGGAGGTTCACAAACGTCTGCAGATAATGCTGAAATGGGTGTACTTGGTAAACAACCTAAAATTCTCCTAAGAAATTTATTGCGAACCATATCCAGTCATTTCAGAGAGGTGTTAGAAGCCAGTGTGTACAAAATTGATCCAAAATAGCTCTAACAATCGATCTATAACATAACATACCTATGTATGGGTCCATTCCTCACTTTTTATTACTTATACACCGCAAAATATTGTACAACTTCTCACATTTCATTAATATATAAGAGATATGTGTACTCCACATTAATTCCCTATCAAGCTGTAAACCCAAAAATTTTACCTGAGAAACTACAGGATATATACCCTCCTAGATTGTCACTACCACGGAAATCAATGTTACCCTTCCTAGTAAAAGGGCATAAGAGAGATTTACCTTCCGAGATCGTGAGTCTGTTTTCATTCATCCACCCTGAAAGCTCAAAAATTGCTCGACTTCAAAGTGTTTTGCATTTTGTTAGATCTTTAGCCGACACGAACAGGCATATGTCGACTGCATACTGGGTAATTTTCACCCCCTCTGGTAAAACGGTAACAAGATCCGCAACATAGATCGCGTAGAGTAGAGGACTAAGGATGCCTCCTTGCGGAAGACCCTTATGCGAGATTCTAGGACCGGAAACTTTACCATTAATGTCAAAATAGATTTCCAGGGGACAGTTGAATATGCCCATGGTTTGTAGCTGTTTTCTGAAATGCCGTGACCGATATACAGCTTAACTCTCAATGGAAGCAGGGGTTTGGCATTCCCCACATACTCCAGCTTTTTGGCTTATTGTATTTTACTCAGTTGTGTTAAACAAGCCTGAGCATATTTTGGAAGGAAGAAGAAGAAACAGTGGAACATGTCCCCTGTTGGTGGCCTGCCTGAACAACACAGTCTTGACAAAGCTTGGGATTTGATAAAATGACTTAAGGTTAATGAAGAGCTCTAAACAATAATGGGGATTGCAAAATAGATGTGGTTGAAAAAGAGGCTTCTGATGTTTCTTTTTCCCAGGTCTTCTTGGTTCCCTAAGTTTCCTGCCTCTATTGAGTGGTTGTAGATTCCTCCACACTGCCTAACCTACAATTGGGGTCACCATTGCATATATCTGTGTGTTGGTGTTTCTCAGATACCAATTACTGTTCTATAACTTCTGCTCTTAGAGACTTATCACTACTGTGATGATAATGAATATAGTAGAAGTAGAGATATATTCCAGTTCCTTAGTTCAGCTCAACTGACTTGATCATTCATTTTTTTAGGAGGTTTTAGGATGTCATTGCTGCATTCCCAGGGCTTTATTGGTACGTTAGGTTATGTCTCTGAGCTTCGCATTCGAAGATTGTAGTCATCATTGAATATATCTAACTTGTGTAGGTCTTTGCTCAGAATGCAGTGACCTGTATAAAGCCTTATCACTATCCTGATGATGATGATGAGGTTACTGGGAAGCTGGAGTTCCTCTCACACTGCCTTTTCACTTATTGCACTTTTCCCAGTTCTTTAGTTTAGTTCAATTAACAGATCGTTGTTTAAAAAGGAGGGCCTTGACTGTCTTTTTTTCTGGGTATTCTCTTCTTTGCATTTAAAGATAAGTGAGTGTTTCTTCCTCATCATGTTGCAATTCGCCAGTTTTGGTGAGGCTTCTTCAATCATGGCATTACTTTGTCACCATCTCTGGCATTCATCCATTTATTTTTCTTGCAGAAACATTCTGAGATAGGGCAGTCTATGTTTGACCTTATAGGTTAGATAACTTATTATTCAAATTAATCTCTAGGTTTGTGGTCTTGTAGATCCTCTGGCAAGTCTGTTTGTTCATTACCAAGAATTTCTTTGTGACCTGGCACCCAAGATATTGTGAGGTTATGCTGTTGATTTTGGATGCATTCGTTGACTATTTTGGAAATGACTATTTTACTACTAATGCTGTTAGGGGTTCTTGGCTGTCTGATCATTCATACAGCAATGTCATTGTATTTCATCTTGTAAGACTGTGTACTTCACTAATTAATTTGATTGCTCATTTGTGGGCTTTGTTGGTTTTGGAGCCATCTGTATACAGTATAATTGTTTTTAATATTCTATTCATTCCTTCTTCTAGTTTGTAGCATGTTTAAACTCTTTAGATATGTCCAGAGTCTTATAATCAGTCTCCATTTTTAGGAATGGGTATCTGATTTTATTAGCTTTGTCATATGCCTGTTATGTATGTATGAGCTTCTCCTTGTACGTATATGTTTCCAATGGGCTTACTCATTGTAGATGTATTCATTGCCCCTGTTATGCGTAGATTTTCCAACCAAATTTTAAAGAAATAACCAACATATATGAAATATGAAGCAGAAACTTGAGAAACAACACAGCTTTATACTGTCTGAGATTTATGAGGAAGTCTGTCTAGCATGAAACCAATAGTTGGGTGAAACCTAGCTGTGAAATATCCTATATGGTACCTGTGGCATTGAGGGCTAAGTTTGAATGTAATATTTCAATGAAAAAGTTGAAATCATTTTATAGAATACATTTTTTTAAATATTTTTATTGTCACAATAGTATCATCTGCCTTCTTGTTTTAAGGACTGTACTGTCATTTCTGAGAAAAATACCTGAGATCATATTACTTGGGAGTAATAGTCCTGTAGTAAAACGAATTGCTATATTCTCAATAATGGTGCGCCATCCTCGTGGATCTTACTTGCACCACAATTTCGTTTGTGCTGTGTTAAATGATGTCTTTGGAATACAAGCGAGAGGAGGTTGTGCTTGCGCCGGCCCATATGCTCAAGATTTAATGGGTATTGATCAAAATTTAGCTTCGCACTATGAAGAGGTTCTTATGGAAGATGGGTTAGAATCTATTTCTTACCTGTAATATATATTATGTAACTAATGCGGAAATTTTTAGTGGGTTAAACTGTCAACACTTGCATCACAAGAAGGAAAACTCAGGTTATGAAATGCTCAGACCTGGTTTCACTAGGATATCACTGCCATTTTTTATGTCAGAGTATGAAGTGGGTTATGTCTTGGAGGCACTTAAAATGGTCGCAACTGAGGGTTGGAAATTACTCCCTCAGTACACCCTTAACCCAGAAACTGGAGAATGGAGACACAATACTAACACAGTAAGTTTTTATTAAAAAAAAAAAAAAAAATTGCTATACAACTATGGTATACTACTCTACTATTGTTAATCTCATCATATTATTAATTTTTTCAGACTTTAAAGGAAAGAAAGTGGCTCAGTTCCATCCGCTACCAAGATGGAAAGATGTGTATAAATGAAAGACGGATTTCTGGAATTAGTCCGTGCCCAGTTGATTACAGTGAGTGCTTGAAAGTTGCACGTACAACATTCAACAAAGCTCGGAAGGTAATTTATTTTGTTGTGCTAGTTTTTTTTTTACCTATCTATTACTTTACTTTTTTGTAGATGGCCAAACGACATCCCTTAGCAGACCAGTGTAACATGTTTACTGATGAGCTTAATCACTTGAGATGGTTCATGCTACCCAGTGAAGCTCAAGATTTGCTTCTTGGCCATTTTCAAAATGTAAAACAGGATGTACCATTTTCACCCACAATTTATTCAGGCTCAAGACAAAATATAACTCTACTTCCGTTGATAAAACGTCACAACAGCCTCTCAGTACCAGACACCGAGGCACTGACAAATAAGTAATCCTTATTATGTGTAAATGTTAAAATCAAAGATTCAAGTGATTTACCTAATTGGATTTTCAGGGATATCAAAATTTTGAGGCAAAGGTCTGAGTCGAATAGTCCTGCTAGGAATAACTTTTCTAGAATAATTCAAATCCCTTCCAGGGAGCGATGCCATAGCTTAGGTTCAGCTCTTCTTCATGAATTTCCTTCCAAGCACAGTATGATGCCGAGGCAACGCTTATTTTCAAACAGTAGCCAGGGTGATCGAACTGACAGTGAGACATCTATGACAGGTAAATGCTGCTGGTGACCTACTTACTACTACATAAGTAACATTTAAAAAAAATATATACAATAATAAACAAGTGTAGAGAAACGACCTACGAGGTAGTACTCCAATTACAACATTGTCTACTTATGATATTGTGGCTATCGTCCCTTTAATCGTTGAGGAGGTTTCTGCATTTGGGGTTTTATGGTGTTGCACGAGAAGATTACAGTTTGGACAAAAGAAATATTTAAGTCTGTATTTGTTGGACACAAGGAGCATAATGATTTTTCTTTATGGCAGATTTGGCCCACACCTCCAGTCTGTAAGTCCATATAAGGTTCACTGAGGTGTTACAAAAAAGCCAAATGACCATTTATCAATGTACAGTCCTAGGTACCACACCATGACTGCAGTTGAAACGGTTTTAAAGTAAACTGGAGGAGGTGTTATGTTGGATGATTCCTACTAGGTTAAATTTTTTCTTTCCACACCAGGATTCCAGTAAGTAGGGTTAGGTGTTACATAAGGTTTCATGTGGGTCCATTCAGAGTTGTTTGAGAGGATCACTGAAACTAACTGTCAGGATAATTTCAAAATGGGATGGTGTACCTGGTAAAGTGTGGGGAATATATTACCCTGAGACAAACCACCATGAAGTTAGTTGGGGAAGACACTTCAATGACTGAAAATGGCCAGTGTTTTGTTGCAATATGCTGTCTAAACCCTGGGCCCCGAACAATACTGCCTCAACTTAGAGGAGGTAGAAATAACATCCATAGCACGTGGCATGAATGACTGATTGAAAGCTGAGGTAACCAAACTGATAAGTAGGAAGGGTAAGGTTAAAAATTGGTCCCTTTATAACTTTATGCACTATAGCCAATATTGGACTATTGCACAATCTCCATTATTATTTATATAATTTCATTCAAGCGTAAGCATTTTGATCAGATCCCAAAGCTTCATCAAGGTCCGTGTATATTCATAAGGCCTGGGCTTTTCCTCTCCCATGAGTACAAAATCTCAGCCTTCACACCGAGGGCATTCTCCTTCTGGAGTCTGCAGCCATACTACATTCTAGGTTTTTATGTCATTTTGTGAAAGTCCTTTGACGAACTTTATTGCCTCTATCTTGGAATATGTTCCTATTGATCAGGATAATTAAGACTATTCTTAATCCATTGTCTAATACGTTTTTGGCAATTTGGATTGATCAAAAAGGTTGAGGATTGATAGGTGTGATTGAACTTTCCTTGAACAATTTGTCGGTCTCCTTGTGCCCTTCTGCCCTATGGGCCCTGGCACATTAACAGGGTTTGATGCAATCCCAAACAGCTCTTTACTTTACTACCGATGAGGTAGTAGCTTTTAGTGTTGCTACCTTGTTTAGTGTGCTGTCTGAGTAAATGGCTATTCTTTTTATTGATAATACCTCATTTTTTGAACCCCCTGGCACATAGTTCAATAGGCACAGTCTCAACATGAAAATGGCATATTGCCCAAGGCATATGATTTCTAGTCCTTGCCTTCTAGACTTTCCATGGCATCTGACCCATATTCGGTCTTAGTATCTGTATACGATAAAGTCAGCATAAATTGGGATCCCTTTAATCGGGTATTTTAATTTGAAATTCAAATCTGAACCTAAAACCTTGACTGTCTGAAGTCTTCCCAAAAGAATTGCTCTTTTTTTATGCTCATGTTGGAGCCCTACATTAATTGGCGAATGTGGCTCTGGCCTCTCCCTGGATAAAGATATATAATGGCGGTTGATTCTGGACTTCCAGGGCAGCTATGGGCATAGTTCTCATTGCTCCAGTAATACTGAGGATTCTGACTGACCTTAGCTGTAATTCACTAATTTCGTGGTCCGCTTGACCAATTAATATATTACAATTAATTAAGGTTTTTAGTTGAGAAAAAAAAAGCAATGGCACGAGTGGGATTTGAACCCACGACGTTTAAGATAGATTACACGACATTTGAAAAATGGCAAAAAAGGAGGGAAAATTCAAAAGGTGGAGTTGAGATGGTAAGTTAGTGCCTGATTGGATCGAAGTCGCGATAGCTCAAGTGGTAGAGAAGCGGCGTATCAAGCCGAAGGTTGTGGGTTCGAATCCCGCTCATGACACTGACTTTTTATCTCAACTAAAAACCTTAATTAATTGAATGATATTAATTGGTCAAGCGGACCACAAAAAATAGTGAATTTAATGAATTAAAATGAAGTTTACTTCACTAAAACTCTCCGTGGCCATTTCATTTGTCGCTGAAAATCAAATAGATTACACGACATTTGAAAAATGGCAAAAAGGAGGGAAAATTCAAAAGGTGGGGTTGAGATGGGAAGTTAGCGTCCGAGTGGATCGAGGTCNACCCCAACTTTTAAATCTGTTGGAAGTGGGACAATGTGTGGGTTTTTTGTGTTCGGCGATCATATAGATGATGGATTATTTCCAGAAAATTATGTATTTCCTGGGAAGGTGTTTTAAAATTTAAGGGGTAATCAGTTGAATCCACAAGCTTTGTTAGATTCGAAGTGGTATATAGCATAAGAACATCTGAGGAAGAGAGAGTTTAGAAAATTCTTCGATCTGTTGGACATAATCAGGATTTATGATGTTCCATGTTAACTCTATAGAAAAGCTTGACTTGATAATCTAGGATTTTTGTTAGTTATCACGCAAACTATTTTATTTTATTTTTTATTAATCATGATTTTAGATGAATATATAATATGTTTCAACACTAAATTATTGGTATTAAAGTAAATTAATATATTTGCATATTATTGGCAGGTGAGCCCGAATTGAAAAATGGTCCTACCAATTCTTTGCGATACACACCGGACTTGGTAAGTTTACGTTATTTTAGTTTTTATATTATTATTTCATTTAACTGTGATATAACACAATTAATTTGTACCGCGTTACATGGAAACCATGTCATTGATTCCTCCTCTTCTAAAGTTAATACCAGTCCTTGAACAAATCTTGATCCATCGAAGCTTTTTTATTAGATCACCAGAATAAAGGCAATTGGAGCTTATTATTTGTCATTTTTTAAGGAATTAATGATCATCAGGCTCCCTGATAGATTGCTGCATATATGAAGAGTGAGTCCAGTCCTTTTTTTTCTTCTTTTATTCAGGGGTCACTTATGGCCAAAGTTTTTCTTTCTTCCACTGCTACCTAAAATATCTATTGTGAAATTGACCCTTTTTTTTATTTCCCTACCTTGAAAAGCGCATTTAAGGTAATTTAGCTGTACCTTTTTTGGGCTTAGGACATGTTCTGATCTCTCTGCTGCTTCATGACTCTGCAGGTTTCTGCGCAATTTTTTTTTTTAATGTTGAATTTCTTAATTCTTACCTACTGAGGGAAAGATCTGTACTGGATGAGAAGTTGAGGAACTTTGATTATTTTGCACCTGGTGTGTCGTTTCTTTTTTCATTTGTCCAGTTTTGCTTTTAGTATGCTTTGCAGCAGTTTCAGTCCAAAGGTGTGAGGGATGGGCTGCTTCTGTTTTTGCCCCTCTAATAGTTTCAGGGTTTTTATTCTTTCCAGAGTGTTGATTTGAAAGATAAAGGAGTGTGCCTTTCATTTTTCGAAATTAGTCTAACTGCCTCATGCTCTTTCTCAAGGTTTTTCATACCTCCTTTTATTACCGTTAAATGAATGATTTTCTTGCTCTGTAGAAGAATGGCCAATATTTCTTCAATTCTTGTAGATTTTAAGTAGTTTCTATTTGATAAAATTTCTACTTATGGGAATATTTTCATCTATTATTTTAAGGAGGGCTGTTGCAATTTTAACACTTGGATATGTGGAAACCAGGGTTGACTGTAATACAAATTCTCCAAATTGTGATATTGTACTTTTTAACATTTTTATTTGTTCTTTTTAGGTTTACGTTGAAGGTATCACAAAAGAGTTGGCGACAGAACTAAAATCAGAAATTCGGGAAGTAATCGCACAAGTGGATGATGTTTTGTCTGAAAGTAACGATTTTGAAAACTCCAGTTTCAACTCTTTAGAAAAGCGATCAAGCATTGATTTGCAAAAGATGAATAAGAGAAAAGCATTTGCTTTGCCTTTCGCCGTTTCACACGCCAATAATGTAAATGCTCAACAGCAGCAGTCGTCCAGCGTCATAACAACGCCCAACTCGGCCATGTCTTCCATATCTGCTGAGAAATTTTCTAAATATTTAGTCGGGTTCACTTCTGATGTCGTGTCCGAAATGAAGTCGGAATTCCGAGGTGTAGTGAATGCGGTCGGTGGGCTTGTATCACCTGCAGTAGAAGGGCCCAAATCAGTTAACGAACAAACTGATAAATGTGACAAAGAGGTGTCTTGGTCAAGACCGGAAACAAATGGCGAAAGTAAAAAAGTTGGAATTAAAAGTAACTCTGCTGAAAACAACATGTCCCACTTTAAATGCCAAAAAGCGGAAAATTACTGCAAAAATTTTCAAAGCTCGCATGACAGTGGCATTAATATGACAGAAAGGGACCTATCGCCATCAGAAGGGCAGGAGCAGAGATTGAAGTCAAACGATGATAAACCAAAGAATGCTTACAATTTACTCGAGCTTGAAATAGGATTAGAAAACATAACAGACAAATCTAAATTATCTAAAAACAAAAGTCTGAATAATAATAGTGGCCTTGTGAACAAATATGCAACTAGTCCTCCACAATGGCACTGCCCACCGAAAGAAATCTGGCGGCCAGTGTGTGCTGTAAGTACTATTTACTATAAATAGCTAGTTGATAACTATCTCAGTTCGCCTACTGGCAATCCTATCAGTTTTTATCAAAATATACTAGACTATGAGAATAGATAAGTTAAGCACTATAACAGAACCAACTTAAGAATGATAGAATTATTTTTTGATTTTCTGTTATTTCTATTGGTTTTCTAAATTGACTGAATTCATAAAAAATTGGCTTCAAAAGTTAATTGTAACAAATAATAAACATTATTGCAATTTCCTACAGCAGCTTGAGTAGCCTGTTAATATTGTAAAACTGATTTAGTTCACATTTCCAACTGTGCGCTGTGACTCGCTGTTGATTTTTTTGTTTGGTTCTAGTTGTCATTGTTATTATAATCTTCTATGTTTATTTTATTTTTTCAAGTATTATATTGTAACTTTTTGAATAACAAAAAGTACCAAAAGTGATATAAAATTATTTATAAATACATATTTTGAGATTTTGTTCCTTTACAGATCATATATATATTTTTATAATTTAAAATTAGGGGTTTTTCTTTGTTGTAGAATTATACAAATTATAATAAATAAATAGTTATTTTATCAAATCTTAATTTTATTTTTATTTTTTAGTAAAAACTAAAGATTAACCCTTAAACTCAGTAATAAAATCTATAATCATTAACACTTAACTTAATAAATTTTTATATTTTGTTAACTGGTCAAAAAGCAGTTCTAATAACGCTTTGCTGGGCAGAAAAGCTATTTGTAGAATCACTACAAAAGAATCGAAAATCATTTGCCCACTGGTGATATAAAAAAATGGTTAATTTTGGATTTTTTTTCTGTTTTATAATAATTAATAATCTTCAAGGTGCAATAAAAATCGAATTAGCACAGATGCAGGTTCAACAAACATCCTACTAAAGTACAAATGCAAAATTATAGAAAATATTTATCAATGTCAAATTATCTTCATAATCCAATTCTTGCGGTGAAACTGGATAAGAAAAAAAATCTGTAATTTTTTATTTTACTGTGCACACAAGTTGTTCTAGTAAATAGGTTTAATTTATTTGATTGAATTTTTACTTTTGGTATTTTGTCACATTATTCATCAACATTTATCGCACTAATTTCCTATGTTTGCTGATTGTCATACCTCACATATGCAGTATACGCACATATACTTATACGCTAGGCAGGTAAAATGGGATAAAGACAAATTGTATTCAAAACCAATAAATTTTACAGGTAATAACTGCTCTAATTCAGTTCTTAATATAAGTAGGTAAAAAAAAAATATTTTTGTTGCTCCTTATTCTATTTCAGTATGTGAGTTAATCCAACTTAAAAATAGACAGAATTATAGAAAGGTGGATGTGTTCTTCTAAAAATGCAGATTTAAAATGAAATTGTTTTTAATCGAGCCTGTCAGGATTAAAGACTTACTGGAATATGCGCTCATTTGACCAGAATTGCCACTTTTACCCCAAAGGTGCAGAATTTTGAAGTGATTTAATATATAACAAAGTACACTCTGGGTCTGCATTCAATGTCAGGAACTTATTTCAGAACAAATATGTTATGCCAAAAGTGTTTAGAAATATATATATGAATGTTAACTAAAAATAACATTGATTTTAGTTCAGAATTTGTCATATTGTTCAGATCTGTATTTTCTTTCTTTTTTATAAATATATTTTTGATTAGGGGAAAACGGACAATAATCTCAAACATTCTCATAAAAGTACAACACATACTTCATACTGTTTTGTAATTTTGTCTTTTTTTATTTGCTATTGTAATGTTATTTACCATTAGGTTTGCTTTGCCTGCACTCACTAGGGTCTGTCATGTGTGTTTCACTATCACGCCATCATCAGACCCAGTCTGTTTACACAACATTGGAGATATGTCTGACAGACCTAACAAGTACAGGCAGACCAAGTTTTATATGTTCATCACCCCGTAGACCACAGAAGTACATCATCACAATTGTGTGTTGTTAGTGGCATAACAAAACATATATTAAAAACAAGGAGTCTGTCCGATTAAATATAAATAATTGTCAAATATTAGAAAAACAGACAAGCTTGGGATCCTAGTACACACTGTAATGATATATTTTAGCGTGAAACTTCTGTCATTAATAATAATTAATTATTTTCTTAATCTCTAATGATGAGTAAGTGATTTTTGGGCCATACCATTCATTTTACGCTAGTGGACCGTGGTGGCTGAGTGGTTAGGGCGTACGAATTTGCCATGCCAGTGGTTCTCTGTTTCAATCAGCAAGCACAGCCTATAGCTTCTTAATTGAGAATAGACAATACAATCTTAAACTTTCTTAATTGTTGGTTATAATAAATATTAAGAAAACTGATAGTTTGGGGAAAAAACAAAAAACAGATGAACTTGCATCCTAGTACTCACTATAATGCCATTTTATCACAAAACAGTTAATTTTTCCCTTTAAAAGCTCTAGTTAATTAATTTTCTTAATTATCTACAGTCTCTTTAGTTAATTATGTGATTTTTTGGGTCAAATATATTTTTCATTCTAGGTTAGGGGTGGCTGAGAGGTTAGGGTGCCAGCGGTTCTCGGTTTGAATCCCATGGCTTTTAAATTGGGAATAAAATGAAGCAAATATTGTAAAGTGGTATCGATGGTTAATCCGCAACACCCAACAAGTTTGATATTAATATTATATTATTTCCTGTGTCACAGGAATTACTTTACTTTGGCCCATTGCAACTGATGAGGTTATACCAATGAGTCAAAAATGTACAGAATAAATAAAAGATATTTTATACCACGGAACACTTGGTTTTTATAACTCAGTAAACAGTTTAAATTTAATTTTATATACACTCATTTTAATGCAGAAAAATGACCATATAATGTGGGAGGTTTATGGTCAGACTGCTCAGATCATCGATGACCATTGTTGCTTTTTCTTATCCTTCAATTTTCTTTTTTTTATGTTCACTTCTCTTGTATAGAATCCTTCTCTGCTGGCTTGAATATACTTGTATCCTTGTTATTTGATAGTTTGCTTCTTTCATGATTTTTATTAAAATTTTGTTACACATTAAGAGTTGAACCAGTTTTCAATTCGAATCATATAAAAACATAGTCAACTGATTATCTGTTAATATCTTCTAAATGTGTTTAATGCCAATGATGAATATTTTGTAGATACTTTGATACAAATCATTAATGATAAAATATTATTGATTATCTAGACTTGGTGATCCAAAGGGTAAAAAAGTGCACATTCGAGGAACAACCCCTCCCCTACAGCACCCCCAAGTATTCATTGGCATGTTCAGGAATCATTATTGACAAATCATTTGTCACATTTCTAATAAAGATGTATTTATGTAATTTTTTTCACTTGCATATTACAAAAAACAAAAACTGAGGTAATGAATCAACTAGTTCTTTCGCAATGCAGTTTGTAGTATTAATAATATTTGGGTGTATAATATAATAAAAATATTTTACCTTTAACAATAATGCTGTTTCAGGCAATTAAAGAATTTAAAATGATCCAGAATGGAGACAAGATTTTAGTCTGCATTTCAGGAGGAAAAGATTCTTTATCATTACTTCATACACTCCACCAGTACCAGTATTACGCCAGATCAAAGGGTATTAATTTTGATATTGGCGCAGCAACAGTCGATCCAGGGAGCACAGCGTACAACCCAAAGCCCTTGAAGCCTTATTTGCTTTCACTAGGCATTGAATATTTTTATGAAGAACAAAGTATGTAACTACTTACACTGCGTTAAAAAGTATATTTCATGCCTGAATTGTTTACAGATATAATAGAACAAGCTGCCAATTTTCGTTGCAAATCAGTTTGTAGCTTCTGCAGCCGTATGAAACGTGGGAAGCTTTATGTAACAGCAAGAAAGCATGGCTACAATGTTTTAGCTTTAGGGCAGCATTTAGACGATATTTCAGAAAGTTTTCTAATGTCAGCTTTCCATAATGGTCATCTGAGGTCCATGAAAGCACATTATTATGTTCAGTAAGTTACAAGGCTTGCTTAAGCTTTTAATAAATTCTATATGACACATAAACGGTCATGTCTAAATTAAACTCATAACATTATACCATTTTTTAGCGAGAGAGATTTGAGAATTATCAGGCCTATGGTGTATGTTCGAGAACGTACATTGAAAAAGTTTGCTGCAAGTAAACATTTACCTATCATTCCAGAGAAATGTCCAGACTGTTTTGAAACCCCAAAGGTGAGTAAGATTTAATATGTGTAATTATCACCTGGTTAACTCTTGACAATAATTTCCTTCTTACATATTTCATTATAAACACAAATGCCTCATAATTTATGTTTTTTATTATTATTATTTTTTTTGGTGAAAGCAATTAGTCTAGTTTTTGAGGAGTTTACTTTAAGTCCCTGTTATGAACACCATTGTTCCACCATGCTTAGTGCTCTTTGGGTGAACTTTTAATGTTGAGTTGAATTTTTCCCTCTCAAGTATGACAATGTCATCAGCATAGCCTTGGGTATAGATTCCGCTTTCATTTAATTTGCTAGATCATTCACTACCATATTCCACAGCATAGACGAGAGTTTTCCTCCTTGTGGACATCCTCTCGCCACCACTGCCTTTTCATGGAACATGGAGGCCTGCACTTTTCTACTTTTTAGCATTGCATATCCATCTGCAGCAAGTTTTATCAGTTCCTCGCTAGTTTTTCAACTAGCCTTTCAAGTGTTTCGAGTAGAAAGGCTGTTAGACTGATCAGTATGACTGCATCTGTGTAACCTTCGGAATGAAGATTGCTTTTACAGTTCTTCATTTGCTTGGGATGCATCCCATTGCCAGGCAGCATCTGTGTATTTTTACATGTAGAGGAATTAGTGCTATTTTTTCCGTTTGTAGGAGTTCTGGGTACATCCCGTTTGTTCCTGGAGATTTGTCTGGGCTGAAGTTTGGATTCAGTATTCTTCCTTTTTTTTTGTTTTTGGTAGGTAAAAGAGGTAAAATGCGAAAGGTTGTAGGTTGAAATGAAAAAGTGTCATGAGTGAGACTCGAACCCATGACCTTCGGCTCATTACGCCACTGCTCTAACCACTTGAGCCATCTCAACCTACAACCTTTCGCATTTTACTTCTTTTTGCCATTTTTCTTGTTCCTTATGTCCAAGTTGGTAATATTTTTAATTCCGGAACATGTGTACTTATTAGCATTTCTAATGTTTCCTTTCCAGGTTGTGTGTGTTTTCCATCTAGTTTTTTTTAGAGTCCCAATGGGGTTTATAGGTTCTTTGACAAGGATTTTGTGAGTCTACTTGCTTCAGTGATGTTTTCAACTTATGTGGAATATTTCATCCAAGATTCTTGTTTTGCCTTTTCCATCTCCCTATTGCATTTGGTTACGGTTTTAGTGACTGGCAGATTTTTGGTGACCCTGATGAGGGCCGGTGTTGTTTGAAAGTGTAGCGTTGAGATGATATGTCTGGTGCCCAGGACCGAGTGTGTGTGCCTGTTGGTAGAGAGAGCAGTTGGATGAGGTCCGGGTCTGTGAGTCGGCTGACTCTACATCAGTTGAAGGGATTCTGGTGCAGCAGTTGGCCAAGTGCAGCGGTTTGCCTGTACCCGAGTAGGCTATGTTGAGAAGGCAGGTTCGAGGCTAATGCTGAGAGTACCCTTGTCATCTTCATAGGTGCTTCATTAGTAATAAGCAAAAACTCGTCGGAGAAAGAGTCTGCTATCTTTGTCTATTAATGATTGGTGAGAGCTCGTCGGGTAGATGAGTCTCGAGGTATGAGTGAGACCTCGTCGGGTTGACAGGTTTGAAGCCAGTGGGGCAGTGCCCCTGCTTATATACGCACTGGCTCTGCTCTGATTCACTGCAGAGTGGAGGGCGATACCATTCCATAACTGCCAGTGACACCTAACGGATACCATGGTAACTGTAGGTTTCCACTGCATTTCAGTATTCCCTGTTTTCCTTGCTCTATTCTAAAGTTTGTGAATTATCTACTACTTGTCTGTCATTCCACCATAAACTGGAATAAGAGCTTTTTGTCCTCTCAGATCAAGGAATTTTCAAAATTGCATAATGTGAAAATAAGCGATGTTTATCACTCATTACGGGCCCCAATAACTGGGATAATGGATGCATCTGGAATTATCGATATAATGGTAATCCTTGGTAAAGATGAGTGTATAAGAAGGTTGCAAGCAGTTTAAATGAAACAAAAAAACTACTTGACAACCTACGCCATTACCCTTATAATGAGACTAAAGCTATTATTTATCTTCAGTCTGTGCACATTAAACGACAAAAAAACTTAGCGTATTTGGCATTTCATGTTTACTTTTTTGCACTATGTTCACCTTATGTCTTTTTAAAATTTCTGGTTTTTTACCTATACAAGCTCAAACGCGCTTATAAATCGTTTAAGACATCAAAAACGCCAATGTTATAGATAGTGAATAACTAGCTACTCGGGTTTCTTTGCTTGTTTTTCTGCTTAGTGAATTTCTTAAATGTTTATGGCTAAGGTTAGTTGCTTTATAAAGTTATCTTTTTGTTGGTGTAGGTGGTTTGTAGACAGGCTTCTTAATATAAGTTTATTATAGCTTCTTGTATTTGTGTGGAAGTTAGCTCAATATCATGGGTGCTTTTAATGTTAGCTATTGTAGTTGTATTTCCCCCCTGGTAACTTGCCGAATTTCTCTCAGTTTGTGTTTCGGTTGTTTCGACCCACATTCCATGTTTTATCCGCTTGTGAGATTTTCATACGTTTTGATGGCCTGAGTTTGATATCCCTAGACACTGCCCAATTCACTATTTGGTTTGCAATATAGCAGGTAGTGAAAGTAATATAAATAACTTCTTGTCTTCTGTAAATTACAAATGCCAGTTCAGAGCCTGTATTAATAACATTACAATTGTTAGTTAGTATAAATTCCAAATGCTTCCCAGCTCTTTTGTTGGTGTTTGTGCTGTTCCATAATCTCATTATGCAAGTTAGCATTAACTGTAGGTTCTTTTGCCTGCAGCATTGAAGTTTTTTACCGCATTTTTACTATTGTAATAACTTAAAACATAATTAAGTCAATCAGTTTGTTTATAAGAGTTTTCTGAATTTTTTTCACAGTACAGGCCTAGAAAATAAATTAGTGCAATAGAATCAAAGGATATTTATTATTGAAGTTAGTCTTTTTTAATTTTTTTTTTTTTTCAATTTTTCAGGAAAGACTTCGTATTAAACAACTGCTTGCACAACAAGAAGTCATTTTTCCAAAGTTGTTTCACTCATTGAAAGCCGCTATAAAACCATTGATACGCTACAGGTACACAGGTCAAGAAAGTAACATGATCTCTTACAATGAATTGGATCCTATTCAGCACTGATGTGAGAAACAAGAGGTTTTATATATTTGATTTGAAAATCCTATGGAGTTTAAATTTATCATTACCTAGAACAAAAAATAAGTATATCATTATTAGGTAGTTGGAGGAAAAAACAAATTGCCTTAATATATGTATAAATAAGAATTTGGCAAAAGGGCTTCCATGAATTGAAAATTGATAGTCGTGTTATGTCTGTATTAATATCTAACTTTATAACTGTTATCATAAAGGTATGCAATTATTGTTTACTGTCAATATTATACTTTGTAGTAAATTTATAACAAAAGTCGTTATAAACAGAAGTTCATATTATATGTTTTACTAAGTGATTTTTATGACACTATATTTTTCTGATTACATGTTAAGAATCAATTTAATTATTTTTTAATAGCATAGAATAGTTAAAATGCCATATTTTTTATAAAGTTTAGTAGCACCCTAAATCTACATCTGCTCTTAAGAGTTGGTATTGATTTGAAATTGTGATGATTTAATAAGAAGAACTATAAAATGTAGTTTGTAGATTTTTTGTTTTTAGTTATTAATTTGTAAGTTATTGGCACATTCTTTCTACTTATATTGTCTATAACTGATTTTTATTTTTATTATAACTATTATTTTATGTGTGCTGTGATCTGTGAAAAAAAAATGTGCTTAACTATTTCAGTTCTTTGTATGTGATGTTACCAAATTTCACATCGTTTAAATGTACAGGAACTTTACCAAGTTCTTGGTAAATTAGTCACTTCTCTGGGAATGTGGATTAAATTTCCTGTAACAAAGTCAATGACATATTGTAAATAATTAAAGAGCTTAAGTTTAAGGCTTTGAAATAATCCAATCTTGTCACGAGTTTAATTATGAACGTAGACTGAAAAAATCCATAAAAAATGTTCATGGGATGTGAGCAATTTGTAAACATTTTATATAACCATCTTGATCATTGGGTTAAGCAATTTTCAAGAATTTACTATCAACTTTTTTGAATTAAAAAACTATACTATTATTATTATAATCACAATAATCATACAAGTACTTTTAGCCATTTAAGGATTTTTTAATTTGTTCAAAATCATTGTTCAACAATAAAAATATAATCATTTAACAGTTTTCATTAAATTTTTGGATTTTTTTAAATTTAGATTTATATAGGCTCAAATCCGCACATGTATGTACATACTATACAAATATGTGCTGAGTTGAGCCTATTCGCTTCTCAATATATATATATATTCTGCTTATATATATATAGAAGAAGGTTAAACTTAGACTGATATGACTATATGTCTATCGGTCGCTGGCATCTGAGAAAACATCTACACAATATGGGCACAGACGGAGATAACCGCATTTGTAGATTAATCAATGAGGTGGAAGAAACAATCGCCCATATCATCTTCGAGTGCGAATCAACCGCTCGGTTTTCGGAGAGGTGTCTTCTCAGTGGGCAGTGACCCGTCAGGATACCTATCAGCCTCCTAATTCCCTTCCTTGAGATAGAGAATAGCCATTTCGATTCTGCTGATTTGATCGCCTTACAAACTCTTTCAGTTGCCTGTGTCCGGGGGATAAATTCCACTCACTAAGGAATTGTTTCATGCCCCAGTTATTAATTGCGCTGTTTTCATAGAGTAAGGTAATACCGGTTGTACCCTGACAAACGCAGTATTAGAACCTTCTTTGGCTAGGCCATCCGCCTTGTCATTGGCATGGTGTCCTTTATGTGCTGGTATCCAAATAAGGATTACCTTGTTCTCAAGCCTGGAAGAGATGCTATTGATAAGATCTATAGTTTCTTCCACCAGTCGTGAGGTTGGCAAATCTTTTTGTAATGACCTAAGACAAGCCTGACTGTCAAAAAAATTCTAATATCTTTTCCCTTAATTTTATTTTCCATAAGTGTTCTACAACACACATTATTGGCCCAGATTTCCGCTTGAAAAACGGAGGTTTTATTACCAAGAGGGGAGGAGATGCTGATTCCTAATTTTGGTATGTAGATTCCTGCACTACTCCCTCTACCTTTGATAAGTGATCCATCTGTGTAGCAGTCTATGTTATGATGGTCATCATCCAAACTGTTATAATTCACAAGGGGTGACTACCTGGAAGTGCTTTTTCCCCAAAGGGGTTTTAATCTTTTTATCACTAACGCTTAATAATTGACCGTAACCTTACTCAATAGTTGTGAGATTTTCGAGTGACCTATGTTATTGCACTTATGATTCCAGCTGCCCTCACTAATTAATCTGTAGCAGCTGATTAGTGCTCTGACCTTAACCTCAATGTGAAGAGGTGTGGTATTGGTTATGATTCCAAGTGCTAGGGTGGGTGTAGTTGAAAATGCTCCTGTCATCATCAAACAACCTAGTCTTTGAAATGACCTTAATTTATTACTGTTCCCTTTATTTTCTAGACCTTTCCACCATACTAAAGCTGCAAAAAATAATCTAGGTAACAATAATTATTATATAAATTATAAAAATAATCATTTAACGGTTTTCATTAAATTTTTGGATTTTTTTTTAATTTGTATTTATATAGGCTCAAATCCGCACAGTCTGTACATACTATACAAATACGTGCTGAGTTGAGCCTAGTCGCTTCTCATAGTGCTTTGCTATTTACAATGAATTGCCAGCAGACTCAAGAATCACAAGGTATTGGCAGTCCGGGGGCAAACCTCAGTCATATCTGTCCAGCCTCTGACGCTGGGCTCTGAGGGGGAGGTGGTCAACAGCTAGGTCAATTCACCACTGAACACATACAAACCCTTTCGTCATTTCATTTTTATAAATATACTACACAAAAGTACTACAAGTAAGTGTTCGAAGTGTCCCACCAAGTTGAAGGATGCAACTCCTTGACTCTATACAGAATGCGTGCAGGAATGCCACTCGATATGAGAATTGTGCTTGAGCATGGCAGTAATTATCTGGTCCGCTGTTGTGATTTTTGGAGGAAACGCTATGGTTTTATAGTAATAATGACAGTTTTTTTGTCTCTAGCATGTGTTAAAAAGGGAATGTATTTATTTGCGTGAATGTTTAAAGTGATGGAGTACTCTGTCTCCCTAACTGAGTGAATGTTTTGTAAATAGGAAAGAATGTATTTAAGAGTGAGTGAGAGTTTGAATGTGTTTAGATTTAGGAACTGATTGCGTTGGGTGCTGAAATGACCTGTCGATAGCACCCGGAGCCCAACCTCATTGGCTGGACAGATGACTGAAGTCTGTCTCTGGACTGCCAACACCCATGGTCGGTGATTCTCCAGGCTTTGTTCCATTCATTTTCATTTCATTGTAAGTACAAAAGCTGGAATTGCCGGTGTACTGCGAGAATTGATAAGCCTCAAATCTGTACACAACTGCATATATACTTGTGCAAGCAGTACGTGAATTCACAACGCTAATTAAATAATATTTCTTGAATGAACTTTTTTCCGTATGGCATCTGTTGTGCTCTTTGAAGAACTACAGAAAAGATGTGGCGGCTATGTGTATATACAAAAATAGGATTGATTACCAGTAATAAACCAAAGCTCTATGTATACAAAATTACTCATTTCCTCCAGAAAATGTGGAGCTCAAAGACTTGCTAGTATGCTTGAGCACAATTCTTATATTAGGCAACATTCCTACTTGCTCCCTGTATGGAACCAAGGCTTGACACCCTTCAATTATGTGGAACACATTGAGCAACTTTCTCTGTATGCTGAGCACATAAGCGAGCTTTGGCCCAAAAGTAAACATTCATGTGACAAAGTGTTAACAACTCTCCATCCAGTTTCTTGGGTGTTTTCTTTGAAGTTGCTTGACTGTTTCTGATAATTTAATCATATGCGTATAGGAGTTTGCCCTCAATGTACCTCTTTCTATAAAATCAGCAAGATTGTCATGACTGCCATGAAATAACTGTTGGTCATATTAAATAGGAAAAAAGACTTATGTTGACTCGTTTATGGAGAGGCCACACCAGGCTTACAGTTGGGCATTTCGAAAAAAAAAAAAAAAGACTACAGAGATATGCTTTATGTGGCACACAAGTATCTGTTAAGCATATTAATGTATTAACGGAATGTGAGAAATTAGCGCCACAAAGAATAAGATGTGACTTGCCTGCCGATTTTAAGCACAGTATTGGTTATAATAAGAAAGTGTTTCAACAACTGAAGCAGATAAATGTATACAGTACATATAAGTGAGCCCTTTCATATGCGGTTTGTAATAATATCCTTAATTGGAGTGAATGTATTTATTAGCCTGAATGCTATTGTACGTTTGGGTGTGCTTGTGATGGAATATTGAGCACCTACAAGCAAATCAAAGTAGTCTAGGTCATTTAGTTTTATATATATTTGCAGCAGGACAGGGGAGTAGCCACTGGTGTAATATCAAAAACCCTATAGACTACCCAATTGTGTGAATGTATTTATTTACGTGAGTGGCTAAGTGTATATAGACATGGTTTGTGTGAAATATCGAGTAACCACAGACCTGTCGAGCCTATTAGGTTAACTTAGGATAGTGAATGCATGATTTTTACAGTGTATGAATGTATTTCTTGAATGAAGGGTGAGCATCAAGAAGACAATCGCTTTGCCGTGCTCTCAACCGTAGTTTCAGGCTGTACATAATTTTAGCATATTGTAGGGGGTCTCAACAGAATTTAAAAACTCTTGAAACCCTCCAAACTTAGGTTAGATAATCTTTTAAATAGCATGTATGTTTATTTTAATTGACTTAGGCTATTTGAATCAGGCCTGGTTAATAAAAATATGCGACAATGACAAAACAATAGCCTTAGCTGCTAGCCGGCCGTAAAAGATCATTTATAGGGACACCAACAGACGACTTAAAATGTTACCGCCATACACTTGTCACTTCAAAACAATTTGACAGCCTTTATTGCAGTACCTTCTGAGATACGAATAGGCAAGCTAAATTAAAAAGCAGAGCATTCCAATTTAAACTATTAGAAGCCTACAAAAAATTCATAGAAGGCCATCATATAAAGAAGACCAGCAGAGATTTTGCTGATGTAGTTCGAGAATAAGCCACGATGATTTCCCGCTTTTTTATAAAGAAAAACTAATTTGTCGGTCCGGGCCAGAGGTTTTGTTGTCTTTTAGAATAGCACGGCACTAAGCCGTTCGTATTTGATGAAAGGAGGGAGTCTAAAATTGACAAATCAGTTGGAGAAAAACATAAAAGTTATGAGCTCCTATGAAATGTTATCGGCCACCAACCGATGATTTTTGGCTTCAGCGTGGCCATAACTTGGTTAGGTGTGTTATTAAAATCCTTTAACCACCTCCTGTCCTTTTACCTGATCCTGAAAACCTACCAAACCGGTCGACGCTTCAGAGTTGTGTGTGGCACTTAGTATTGGGAGATAAACCGATCCTTGACCGCATCCTACAAGGGAGCGTCCTTGGTCCAACCTATTCACTATTTAAACTGCTTACTTCCATCCTGAATCCATTCCAACACACTTCAACCATTGCAAACGACATCGGATTATTAGGTACGAACCCGAATTCCAAGCCACCGTCAAATATCCAGGAACACCTCCAGGCTTAGCGAATAATGAAAACCAACTAAATACGGCCTTATCCTAGACTATACGAAAACAAAAAGGAATTACGAACATACACACAAGTGATACTTACTTAATACTTAAGACTAATCGAGGACAGCAGACTGAAGTGGTATCTCTACACTAGATTGAAGCGACCAGAACAGAAGATTTGGGTAACTAAGAAGATTGCTTGGACCAAATTCAGACATGGATGTAACAAACTAAGACTCTAAAGATCAAAAATTCGACTGATATGAACATATGGAGCTGAACTGTAGGGGTACAACATTTAACGTCGCCATCCAAATTACCTTCCATTCGCCGCCAAAATGACCGCCATTCCAAAACCTCCCTTTGTTCAAGACTGGAACCATACTTGCTTTCTGAAGTTTAACTATAACCTTTCGTATCGACCTAATCCTTCCGTTCTAGCCATCTCTACTATCAGTTCTACCAAAAACTCTTCATTGGACATACGGAGAGGAGTGAGAT